CCCCAAAACCCCAAAACCCCAAAACCCCAAAACCCCAAGGTAGATTACCTAAATTGAAAATATTAAATTTGAATTAACGGTAGCAATGGCTGATGTTATGAAGCTAGAACCCAAGAGAGTAAGTTTACATCACTAATAAACTACAATAATTTCGCTTAAATTAGATAATGGCTTCTCCATCGTTAAACATTCTAGTTGATTTGGAGAAGTGCTGACATTTACTGCTTTATATTAGTGAAGTTAGAACCAATAAGATTCTAGCTAACTGCCAAATTATGCCAATTTCTGAAAGATTAAGAGGACTTTCAAATGATTGAAGTTGCATTAACTTTCTTATCATTCTAAAGAATCCTAAAACCAAACTTTTCCTTAATAAGAGCTATTGTGTAATGTGTAAAGTATGATAATTATTGAAATATTGGATTTAGGCTTGGTAGGGAAATCCATTGATGTTCCCTTCAGCAGTTCTCATAAATCTTATAAATACTAGAGCACATAGTCTATTCATACAAAGGCATTAGCTTCTAGTTCACTATGGCCAGAATAAACTCTAGTTCCCCAGAAACAATCCCTAAATGAAACCACATGCTTTTTGCTACATCTTCACTTAAAACTTTTACTAATCCTGTTTCAGAAACACGTAGAGGATCTCTGTGAGAGCGCATGGGGCAAGGTGGAAGAACTCAAAGAGTTTTTGGATCTCCTAGAGACAAAGATAGAATGTGAATTTCAAAGAGCAGAATCTCTAGATCTTCTATCAAGATTCGACTTAAATCACCTGAAGAAAACGTAAGTGGTTCTGATCTATCCCCTCTAGTCCGTTTGAATCAATCTGTAAGTCTATTATTAAGAAGGCTGAGAATGAAGCCTATCAGAACTACGAACTAGTTGAAAGTCTGAAGAATGTCATCTATGAGCCTCTCAAGGATAAAGTGAGGGACTACTCTGAGAAGATAGAATCACTTGATGAGTCATTCGATGATCATTTCAAGAAGCTAAAGCAGTCTAAAGAGAAGCTCATAGGTGTTGACAGTAACTACAATCACTACAGCAAGCAGCTCACCGAGGCTATGAAGAAGATAGAGTATAAATCTTCTAATAGGAAAGTTGACTTCTTTGACGACAAGCTCTTCTCCTCTCTTAATTCCAAAATGAAAACTGTTGATACCACTGCAAAAGAGGTAGAAAGCAAGACACTAGAGCTAAATGAGCTTGTTGCAAAATATAAAGAAGACATGGAGAGCAAGATTATTGACCTCGAGAAAATGGAAGGGGACCGGATCCAGGCCATTGTTGACGCCCTAAATCAGATGAACATCTTCCAGACTAACTGTGATATGAACAACAAGTATGATTCAAATAACTTTAACCAAGAAGTTGATGATATAAAGACTGATCAAGCAGTTCAGGAGTGCAAGACTCTTTATGACCCAGCTCCAATGATTAAGATCGAGAGCTATGACTTCCAACAGTATGACGAGCTAATCACTCATGAAGATATCGAGATGAACGAAATCCCTGAACAAGAGGAACAGAAGCACAGAGAGGTCATCCAAAGCTATGTTGATAAAATAGAGGAAGATACTCTTGATTTCACTAAGTTTGAAGAGCTAATGGACATGAAGATAAACCGCTACTTGTTTGTGACTATAGTAAACAAGTTCAGCAAGCCATCCTTGCCCTCAATGAAGGCTCATAACAACCTTAGCAAGTTGATCAATTGCTGCCTGAAGGGATGTGATAAAAATGCCGACTCTGAGTACTTAAAGAACCTCATGATCGCTGCATCAGAGATCTATTATGATGAAGAGGAAGAAGAAGACTCTGTGATCAGAACCTATATCACAGAAGGAATCAGAAAAAGCAGTATCTGGGAAAACAGTGCCATATGGGGCAAAGCTATCTTCAAAGACTTCAGGGATATTCTAATGAAGTTCAAAATCCCAAAGGACCACCAGGAAGAAGTCAATAAAGATGAAGTCCTTAGGAATGTGTTCTTCAACAGACTCCAATTCTATGTTGAAAAGTTAGCTTACTTTGATATGGAAGAGGAGCTCTTATTAAAGATTGTCGATAAGTAAGCTATCTGATTTCTATCTCTAACGCACTTTAGATTCCACTCTAGCTATAAGTTTACAAAAGAACAGTACAAGACCCTGAAAACAATAATTGAATCAAGAGATGCTATCGAACAAGACGACGATTTCTTTGGAGAGGAATCTAAACGACAGACATCTCGTGGCTCTATCACAAAAAGAATGGGAAGCTGGATGAACAATATTGGTAAACTCAGTGCATCTGCCATGAGCAAGATGAAGACTTATATGAAGAAGAACAATACTGAGCAAGAGCCTGTTGTTGATAGTTATGATGACTGAGCCATTGAGGGAGATGATACAAATACTGATACAAACCATACTTCTCAGACCCACTCTGAAGCTAGCCCACCCAAAGAAGAAGGAAAAATTACAAAAGGTGAAATACATGTTGAAGAGATCAATGAGTCTAAGGATAAAGAAGCTCAAGAAGAGATTGAAATTGTGGAGAAGGAAGATCTAAAGCAAGTTGAATCTTCTAATGAAGAGCAAAATGAGGATGAGACTCATAATGAGAATGAAAATGAAGAATCTGAGAATGAAAATGAAAAATCTGAGAATGAAAGTGAAAAATCTGAGAATGAAAAATCTAATTCGTCACCAACTAAAGAAAAGGACAGTGAAGACTCTGTAGAAGATAAAAACAATAATGAGGAAGAAAAATCTGAAGGATCTGATGAGCCTTCAGATGCCTCTCCACCTGCCTTAGCCTCAGAGAATGCAGAAGTTACACCGACCGAACCTTCTACTGTCTCAGAACCTGCCTCAGAGCCAGTTGATGATAAAACCCAAGTTGACACTAAATAATTTACTGAAAATCTTTGAAAAATGCTTCTATGAATTTTTAAGAAAATGATACCAGAAAGATATTCAAGCTGGCTTAGCTTAAACATTTATTTAAGTGAGGATTTGTTCCTCTTGACGTATTTTCTTAGAACTCCAACCTTCTCATTTTTGTACTTCTCAAAATCAAATCCAAGCCTCTTGCCAAATTTAAGTTGAAGGAAGTAGTCATCGAGTGACTTCTTGGATACGCCAACCTTCTTGGCAGCATCGTCAAGGGAGTACCTCAAAAGATTTCCTTTTGTGTCTGGGATCCCATTGTATAGCTTCCTCCAGAGAGTGACGGCCTCTACAATGTCGCTGATTCTTCTCTCAGTTGCTCTATTGGATAAGCATTAAAAATTACCTCTCTTTGGTTTTAGGCTTCTTTCATTGATTAGCTCTGAGCACATCGAGGTCAACGAAGGTAGGCTGGGCTGACAGATCACTATTAGAATAGACTGATAAATTTATCTGCCCATCAGAATTTAATAGGCTCGGCTGACTTGAGTTTATTTGCTGGCTGCATATAAATTTCTCAGAGTTAGATAAATTTATCTCAGATAAAAGAGATTTTGATAAATTCTGATGCTGACTCTGAGGCATCATCATCTTGCATCTTATCTCTGGAGTTGCAAAGCTGGTTGAGTTTGGTGCAGTCGTTGGCTGGGCCGACAATCCAGCCATTGGGCCCTCGCTGAGGTCTTTCAGAGGCTTCTTTGCCTTTAACATGATCTTTATCGAGGCTCCTTCTCTATAAAAATGTGAGAAATTTCTCTAAGACTAGCATTTTAAAGGGATTATCTAGAATTTAGACATTTTCAGAATTTTAGAAGAAATCTGATATTTTCCTAATACCTCTCTAGTTCGCTCATTTGAATGGTTGAGTCTTGCTTGAGTGGTGTTTTGCCCAGGAAAACAAAGAGTTGTTCTTTCTCTGAAAAATATGATATGAGATTGTTGGTAAAGTCATATCCTCTTGATTCGAGCTTCCTTATCAACAGGCTTGCCTGTATCTGCTCGCATCCAAACATCTTGAGAGGAATATTTTTAATCAATTCTTGCTCATCATCGGATTTCAACAGAATATCAGCCTATAGTGAAATGAATTATTCCTGTGAGCATTATAAAGCTGGAGGTATCAAGATTGCTCGCCAGCCATCTGAAAAGAGCGGTTAAATAATCTTTTTATAATATATCCTAAAACAGGAGGTTCCGGCCTTATGAAGAAATCTCATAGAATATGGTGAAATAGCACCCACCTTCATAATTTTGTTTATCTGTTGTTCTACTTCCTGTTTTTGGGTGTTTTTGAACATTTTACATTGTGAAAAGGATGCTTGGAGTTGATCCGTTGGTCAATCTTCGGTCATACCTATTTCCATTCCTGTTTGTTTCTGAAAATATATAAAATTAAAGAATACCTCTCCAATAGCACCTTTATATAGTGGGGTTTTGGGGTTTTGGGGTTTTGGGGTTTTGGGGTTTTGGGGTTTTGGGG